GGCCATCAAGAGACAAAAGTGAAGCCTTTCAAAGAACAAATTTATCCCTTAAATTGAAGGCTACAGTAATAACAATTCTATGTGGAAAACACTGTCACTTTCACAGATCTAGATACTTTATAGATATTCCAAAAGTGTACAAGTTTTGCACAATTCAAATAGTTTTTCAGTCTATGTAAAAAATAAATATATTTTACCAACAAAACTAAAGCAGCACTATGTTGTATCTCTTAAAGCAATGTCTGTTTCCTGTAAAGGTTTTTAGACGAAGTAGTACCTACTCAATTTTCATTAACAATACATGACCACTGCCAATTGAGATCCGTGGCTAACCACTGTTTCCAACATCTCCTCTGGTGAGGAGAATTGATCACTACAATGATATGCTGAGGGATATCATTGTATCTTCCCTTAGCTGGATCATTTTTTATTGATACTTTATATTAAATTTTACTGACACTCACATTTTAGTGTCATATGATTTATAACTATCCTAGGTTAAATAAGGACAATCTCACATATTCTGGAAATTTCAAATTTGAGGAATATGAGTATGAAATCCTCCTGAACCATCTCTCTGTTTTTATCAGGCCCTGATAGCAGGCTTTGAATAATGCAAAACAGTCTTCTTGAATACATTAGTCTTCATTTTCATAAAAATATTTTCCTCTAGATCCTACTTGTTTTTTTTTCCATTTAATTCATTATTCAGAAAAGTATCTACATTTTTCTCATTTCTTCTCCTTTCAATTAATTAATCATAGTCTGATTTCTATCTCTATAGTGCTTCCAAAACATCTTTCACAATGGCAGCTAAATTGAGAAATGCAATAAAGCACTTATAACACTTACCCTCTTTGAACTGTCTGGAGTTGATACTCATAGGCACTCTACTCCTTTGACGTGTAGAAATCTACTGTTCAGTATCTCACCCAACTTCTAAATCTCATTTACTTTTATTGATTCCTCCTTGAGACAGTATCAAAATAGTGATATTTCTGAGGGTTCCAACTTTAATTTTCTTTCTTTTTTTTTTTTGAGACGGAGTTTCGCTGTTGTTACCCAGGCTGGAGTGCAACGGCGCGATCTCGGCTCACCGCAACCTCCGCCTCCTGGGATCAGGCAATTCTCCTGCCTCAGCCTCCTGAGTAGCTGGGATTACAGGCACACACCACCATGCCCAGCTAATTTTCTGTATTTTTAGTAGAGACGGGGTTTTACCATGTTGACCAGGATGGTCTCTATCTCTTCACCTCGTGATCCACCCGCCTCGGCCTCCCAAAGTGCTGGGATTACAGACATGAGCCACCGCGTCCGGCCCCAACCTTAATTTTCTAATCTTCTTTCTATAAACCCACTCTTGTATCATGGTACAAAGTGTACCTAATAAACTGTCCCCAACATATTTCTTTAGCCTTTGCTTCTACGGTTGTGCATAACTCTTTTCTATTCTCAGCTACCTTTACATTTTATTTTTAGACCTATTCTCCTTTGATTGTGCTCTACCCTCTTTTGAAAAAGATTTTCAACCCTCTCATTCTTATAAAACTACAATATGCTTTCTAAAAATACTGTGAAAATGTCTCTTTACGTAAAAAGCCTCCCAGTGTCTCCCTGGGAATCATTCATAGATCTCTATTCAATTGTTTTCCCGGAGCACTTTGGTCATATTTATATTATAATAAATATCAAACAATATTTTAATTTTGTAAAAGCCATTCATCTTCCCAAAATGAATTTTAAGTTCCTCAAAAGTAAAAACTATTGACAGTGTTTCAGCATAAAGAGTGCAGTGTAGTGTAAGAGTTATAAACAGGGTATGGATTTTAGAATTGAACAGGATTGGTCTGACTCTCAGACATCCACCACTTCCTAGTGTGTGACCTCTATGAAAAGGAGTAACAATTAGATGCAAATAACATTTATGCGCAACTGTCTAACTTCACACATAAAGTGTGTAAAGGGTTTCACATAACATGTGGTGCAGAGTATTTGCTAGGTCAGTTTTAGGTGTTACTGTCTTCCAAAATTTACGCAGAGACTTGCTCATTATAGATTATCACTAAATATTTAGTAAAGGAATTGATGAATAAACAATAACAGAACATAATTCTTCCTTGCTTCTTATATGGCTTAAGTGTGAGGAATGCAATATATTCATCCTTAGTATCTGTGGGGAACTGGTTCCAAGATCTTCCTCGGATAACAAAATCCTCAGATGCTTAAGTCCCAAATTTTAAAAAATGGCACCATATTTGTCTATAAGCTATTCAAACCCTCCCCTATATTTTAAAATCATCTCTAGATTATTTAAAATACCTAATACCATGTAAATACTATGTAAACAGTTGTTTTACTGTATTGTTTAGAGAATAATGACTTGGGAAAAGTCTGTACTGAAAAATTGTGTCTGTGCTGAGCTGTACAGGCTCACTTCCAAATACTTCTAGTTTGCACTTGGTTGAACCCTTGAATGTAGAGCATAGGGATGTGGAGGCTGATTGTATACACATTATGCTCACTATCAGAATAGATTTTAAGGCGTAGAATACTAATGTACACACATTTCCAAATGCAAATAGAGATAGAGGCACGAGCACACAAAAGTAGGACAGGTTTGCTCTAAACTCCTACAATTAACATTTTTTTTTTCTGGCTGTGTTTATCAGACATGCCAATTATCATTTTAAAATTATATGATTTTGATGATACTTGGTAAGTGCAAAAGGTGGAAAAAAAATCAATGTGGGCTGTTACACCCATGAGAGAATTTCATTCTGGTAATACAGGTGCATTCTTTGGATGGGGAGTCATCCTGAGACCGAGTTGTGGGTGGGAAAAGTGGGCCTGCAGTGTATGTATTTTGCCCAGAATTAGTGAGACAGGGACAGGATAAATGAAGTCTGGGATTCAGAGGAAGCATTACTGGTGCTCTAAAATAGAAATAAAATAAGTACCTGAATCAATTTTTGGCAAGGGAGAACCTTAGATGTACCAACTCTGAAATGTTAATGAATTTATTTTTCTCTTTTCTTCCCTCTGGTTGCAATGCCCAAGTTCAAGTCCTCATCACTTTTCACTTGCAATGTGGTCAAACCTTTTGACGTAGAGTCCCTATAGTTGATCTGCAAGACTTACATTCCAACAAGTATCACCTTCACAACCAAACGCCTTCAGCTCAAGCCTCTACCTCAAGTCTCAGCAACTTATTATTAATAAAATAGTAGCATTTTGGTTAAAAAAAAGTGTAAATTTTAATACAATTTTGCTTTAAAACCACTACTAGGTACTCTGAGATTCCCAGAAGTTACCAGATTCCAATCAAGGCTGCTCATTATGACACTGCTTATTAAGGAGTATATGCCAGATGTAATGCATCTCTAAAACTCAAATGCACAATGCAAAAATAACTTTCATTTATGAACGTTGACAGTTACCCCAAAGGTGATCCTTGAAATTTGTCAGAGGAGACATGAGTTTAATTTGCATGTATGTTCAAAACACCACAAACTGAATCAAGAAAGAATGACTTAAACTATTAAGAAATAAAGTTTCTGGAAATTTTTCAGATTGTAAAAAGGGTCTTACTGTAAGACCTTTCATCTGTCAAGAGATCATACTGATGAAGGTAGGGCAGTTCTCAGTAAAATTTTGGGAAATAAAATACTACAGCACTTCATCTATGCTTGAAATAAAAAGTCAGTTACTAAATAAAAAATATAGTATACAGAAATAGAGGCTTAAAACACCTGCTTCTGTACTTCGCTAATTAAAAGCTACTATTTTTTAGCAATGTATGTTTATTAGACAGTTCCATCAGCTTTTCATTTTCTCTGTTATATTTTTAGACACACTAGCAGTCTAGTGGTGCACACACTTGTTGGTGAGTGAAGCAAAGGTTAAGTGTGTATGACACAGATGAGCCCCGAGATTAAGTATACTCTGTGAAATGCATGAATGTTCATGATTTAAACCAATGAACTGTGGCCTGAAATGATGTCACACAAAGCGCAGCGGTAAGTGGAAGGTTAAACCTACTTGCATCTCGGCTCATTAAACGGAGTTAAAGTGCAAATCCCCTCATTCTGACAGTAGTGATCACAAGGGTTCTCTTTCTGGTCACAGCGCTGACTTTTAAACCCCACAGAGCATCTGCAGAATTTCAGTAAAATACAGCTAAATAAAGTGTCTGACTTTTTTTGCCAAATATGTTTTAAATTCATTTCATACAGAGATAGTAACATTTGAATGAAGAGGTTCCCAGATATGCTCACTTCTCTCTCAAACATACTCATCACATGCTACTATGACAAGGTGGGGAACGGGGTGCAGATGTGGATTTCATGTGAGCATCACGCTTCCGGTCAGTGATAACACTCACAGTGACCATGTAAGCTGAATGATTTTATTTCAAATTGTCCACTCTGGACAATCAGATCATGGAGAGGGCAGAAATATTAAATTCCAGATTTTCTCAGGAGCACTATGAATACCCAATACTTTTCCCAGGTGTTGAGAAACCCAGATTTGAGTTCTTCCAAAGGAGCCAGGGATTTAATAGGTTTACATAATAAAATAGTCTAAGTCTCATACAAACATCAAATAGCATTATACATTTGAAAGAATATTACAAGTTCTTTTGAAAAAAAAAATGGCCATAAGTACCAAAGGATTCATAAAAGATGATTATCTCTGGGCTTCACATATCAGAATAAGGTCAATAAAATTGGAAAAATTTTCCCTGGCATTTCCAAGTTCAAAGGTCTATGAATGTCTGAAATGGTACGATGCTAAGAACAGAATGAGCTCTTCCTCATGAAATCATTAGCAATTTGATGAAAGAGGAGATTCTGCAGCACATGAGCTGAGGAGGGACAATACTTGATCAGAGATGTCCATGAAACACTCATTTAAAATAACCCAGGAGAGGAGAGTAATAGAACAGGGATTTCGTGTACACACAAAGGCTTATTATAAAATGCCCATGACTAAATACTCACAGACACATTGGTACATTGGTCTCGGGGTCCAGCTGGCATGTGCCACCATTGTAACAGTAGCCATCACATAACTGACAGCTAGAGGCAATCTTTCCATTAGTGCAGCTGCAACAACAAAGAAAAAACAATCCCATTGTTATTGACAACATCATTGCTGAAAGCTGACATAAAATCTCTGTGGATGAGAATATTCTTCATATAGGAGAGATGGAGTGGCGGGTTAATAGGAAGATTTCGGGAAGACTGACTCTCTAGAGGCAGATTTTATTTAATTTTTGTCAGAATAATGCTATAAAATTTTTCTTCTGGTAATTTTCAAATTTTTGACCAGTTCACTTAATATAAACATTTAATATAGCTAGATATATGTGTGAAAAAAATATACTCTAATGTCTATCATTTACACTTCCAGGAGATATTAGCATCAGTATCTTTTTCCTTTTTGATATAAGTTGGATTTGGTGACATTTTTTGAATGATAAACCACATGATCAAGTACTCTGGAAAAATACGCTTTAGCTTTTCTTCTAACGTGAAAAATCTGTTCCAAAAAAATGTTAGGACTTTTAGACCCACATTTCATAAAAAAGTGGAGGATTATCCTATAGTCACTTTTACTCCTCTGTTTCTCTTTGATTATGTATTGAAACCAATGTCAAACTATTTTTATTCTAACAGGAAAAAAAAACACAGAGCAGTTCATTTAAAAAAATAAACAATACAGTCATTTTACAGGAGCAATGTGGCAACAAAATAATGAGACAGGCTTTCTTGAAAAACTTACCAAAATGATTCTAATTTAAAAATCACATCACATGTTAGGGATAAGAATGAATAGCTACTGCTATACTGTAAAAATAAACATAACAATGCAGGGAAAAATATAGACATTTTTTACTTGCTATGTTACATTTTTAAATGAACAAATACTCAAACAATTAATTGGACAGTAAAAACTCTTGAGTAAATGGAGAAACGTGCATCAACATTTCAACTTAGAATTAACAACAGATCATGCTGACAATTCTGATCATGCGGTCATGTCAGTATTAGCTACTATGAAGCAATCAGTGCATCTGGACATAACCTTGACCAAAAAATCAGGCTTCAATATCGATTTATCACTTTGATCCTCTTCATGATGGATATCTATTGCAGTATATCTGTCATAGAGTGATGCTTAATGATAGGTGAGATGTCTAAAAATAATTGGTTGACATGTAGTTCATTTATTCTGTTTTTTTTTTTTGACCTCATGTGGGTTGTGTAGTTGCTGGAAATACACTCAACTGCTTTTAACATTCATTGGCATTTAATTTGAAGATATTTCTGAAAAGCTTAGATTGTGAAATCACATTTCTTTTCAAGATGAACCGGAGCAGTGAGCAGTGTAACTATGTACAAGATGTGGAATAAAATACAGGTAAACTGAACAACACATGGAAAAGGGGGGGATGGTTTCAAGTTTGTAAAGAGTATCCCATTATGAATAACCTATAGAGGTACCCTAATATAGATGCAGTGAATTAATTAGCAATCAGTGGTATTAGTGTCTGATAGACTAAGTGCATCTGAGGAACTTTTACTTGTCCTCCATGTCCAGCTTCTTTGAAAATCCTAAGAGCAAAACGTTACAGTTTCTTGTTTTATCAAAGGAACAGCTTCAAAAGGAGAAATTAGCTCATTATACATTAAAATATTTTCTACAAAAAAGATAACTCTATATCAAATCTCATCATCTAAAACGGACAAAAAAACTAATTGGTTGCTTTTAAACTTCTGTTTCCAAAGGCTACATAAGATGTTGCCTCTTTTTCTTCTAAAGTTAAATGTTAAGTTGAAGATAGAAACTTATAGACATTTTAAATGTGAAATACAAATTGTTCAAATCATTACAACAAATCAAAGAGTGCAGCTCATATTTTAATGTATGTTTTCATAATAATTTTCTTTTTTCAGAGGGATTCAGCGTGTGCACGCACACACACACACACACACACACACACACACACACACAGAATATGTGATGGATCAATTTCCAAAAGTTAATTAATAGTTATTCAGTCCACACAAAAAAATTCCCATGTCAATGGTCATCAAAAAGACATAATTTAGGTTATTCAAGATTATGATCAAGTCTTTCTTCAACAATATTCACTTTGATTTTCAGAAGAGAGAAAAATATGCAGTTGGCTCTGTTTTAAAGATTATACTCACTACACTTGATAGAGAACTGATTCTAGTTGACAGTTCATAGGCTGTGCATTAGAAACACAACTGTCTATTTGGATTCAAAAATATACTTGATGGCTTGAATTTTCCTAATTAAGTAAAAATTATTAACTTCATTGGAATTTTGTTTTACTATCTATTCTTTACCTATGAAACAGAAATTCCAACATCACTGTAAATTTATTTTAATGCTAACGTGAAAAGTATCATAGAAATAAAAATTAACTTTAATCATCTAACATGTTTCCGAAAATCCAAGGAATTATATTTGTATTGTCACGTTCAAGTGTTATATAGCCTATTTAATGAATCAAGTATTATTATATTCCTATTTTAAAAGTTCCACTATTTCCTCATTGTTAGCAATTGTTATGTCTCCATTCTGACATACACAGTTCCAAAAAGACGATTTAAAAAACATGAACTATTATCTTGCACCTCAATAACCTGCTCAGGTTGTGAAGATCTGGTGTTTCTGTTTTGGAGAAGGCACTTTTGACTGCATAGCAAGTGATAATGAGGGGCTCCAAGATTTCCCTTCTTCCTTACATAAGGAGAAAAGGGCCTGAATCCTCACATGAGCTTTTCCACGGTAAAATGGGTAGGAAACTTCAGCTCACACATTTCTCAGATGATAGCTCATGATCCCGGGGAAAAGTGGAATGGAATTGTAAAGAAGATTCTGCAGCTTAGCCTGATATGGTACACAGGACATAGAGAACAATGTACACTCACTAATTGAAGTAAAGTTCTGTCATGCCACAGTTTCATTATGAAGAACAAATGAGCTTTATGAGCCAACATGATTTGAATAGTTTATATGAAAGTGTGTTTCACTTTTATGTACTTATCAAAGGCACATATTTATATATCGGCCATATTTTCAATTACTTTACTAAAAAATTACTTACTTTCAAATAACCCAGTTTTGCAGGTTTGCATAAATGTCATTCATAATGATAACACAAATCATATTTAGAGTAAATTCTAAAATGAGAGGAAATAAAAAAGAAAAAAACGTTGATGCTGTTTGTAATAAAATTTTATTGGGCTTTGTTTGGCAGAGCAACATAACTCATCCGGCACCCTTGGTGAGCTCTCAGTGGAAGCTGTGACATGGACACTTTATGGCATGCTTTCCTATCTTATATTCTTATTTATTATACTCCCAAGCAAGGCAAGTGATAGAGTCCAGTCCATTATAAGTTCTTCCTTTAAAAGGCTGTTAAAAAAGGTCTAAAGTGAGGACTGATCTCTAACCTCAGTGTCATAAACTTGTTTCATGATAGAAACTGAATGGCACCTTTAGCCACGATGTTCTGTTTTACACTCACTTATCTTAAAGTCAAAGGGCAAAAGGCAGTGCAATGAAGGTCAAACTCAAAGATTTTTGTTTTAGTGACTTCCCAGAACACATTATTCCTTCCATTTGCTTTGTATCATAATATTCAAAGTCAGATTTTAAAAAAAGGATTAATGTATATTTTCATTAGACAGGTCTTTTGCTCCTGGTTCAACAGATCAATTCACAACAGGAAAGCAAACCTACTTATTGTCAATAATAATGATGAAACAATTAAAAACCTGAGCTAATCTAATTGAATAATATTACATGTACTTTCTGAAAGGATGCTGAATGTCAACATTTCTCGCTTACTCAGAAATATTTGGTATAGGGAATGATATGATCATCTTATTACACTGTTGATTTTTGTAATTCCCAGATATTCACAGTAGATGTTGAATAAGTTTGAGATAAATTAAAATGAACTAGACTCTCTAGCCATAAAAAATGCAATGAGCACAATACAGAATTTTAGAATAAAAGCAATCTATATAGTTTTACAGTTTATTACTGAACTGCAATGTCCACTGGGATCCAAATGCTCTTATAAACTAAGCTGGATGTCCACTTACTTGCAAAATATATCTTCACTGTCTTCATTTATAATGCAGTGCCCCCCATGGCACCTTACACACTTGTCAATCTCACATTTTGGTCCTTCGTAGCGTGTTGGACAGACACATTCAACACTTCCATCATCCCCAATGGTACATGATTCAGAATTCACACAATAGTGGTGACACACATCTAGGGAAAAAAACACAACAGAAAAATAAAATTATATTACAGAACTTTTTTCTTCAGTCATAGTAAAGGTGACTATTTCATTTTTTACTTAAAAATGGTCAATCAATAGGTAGATTAATTTGCAAAAGCAGCTTATAATTACACATGAAGTAGAATTCTTTAATAATGCTATTGAGTCTCCTCTTTGTGAGTCAGGCATCATTTTCCTCTGGCTAAGAGGAGAGACCTTATATTGATATTATGCTCACTGACAAACTCTGAGTTCTGAATATTAAAGTTTAAGTTAACAAGTTCCCTTAGCTTTCTTTCTAATAAACAATATAAGTATAGTTTGAGATGAACAGAAATGCTTAACATTTCTTTGGATGTCATTTATTATTGCCTCCTTCACTTCTCTTTTCATATAGAGAACAGTGTAATGTGTGGTAAGCAGAGAATTCCTACCCTTGCACAAGACTTTAGTGTTGTGCAAAGAAGCCTCCTTGTACATACATGTAGCAAAATAAACCCAGGTATTTTCTGCATGCCTGAGAAGGTGAGGAAACAACTAGTTATGCCTCTCATGGAACTCCAAGAGGAAAGCAAACTGGGGAACTAACTGATCCATCAATCATGGGAATAATAACAGGAATTTATGCTATTATCCTTTTCTAAGGTAAGAGACCAATCTTCCCATCAGTCAGAAAACTCCCTGTACTATGAACCTATTGTTTTGAAGGCCATTTCTCATTGAGCATCACGGACAATTTTCTCAACTACAAAGGAAACACTTCATCCAAATATTTCTATACATTTTGAACATGCACAATGAAACAAAGACATTTAACAATATAACAACCACTCTAACCATATAATTAGATATTCTGTTTCTATCTTTTGAGAAGCAAACATGTCTGTTTTTATATATGAATATATTATAATTTATCACACTTAAAATATTGAAATTCATAGTACAAATAATCCTAAGCAAAAGAATTGATTAAATTGATCCCAGACTTTGTGTTTAGAAGATGCAATTTCCTTTTAGCTATTTAATTGTGAAGCAATGTTAAATGAGATTAGCTGAGATAAAAATCACAATGTATAAACTTTAACCTGCTATATGACAATTGTAGTGGGTAAGAAAAATTAAAACATAATTTATAATTCTCATGTTTATGTTTATCTCGCTCTTTATTAAATCAGACAGAAATTAAATTTATTGACAGACTTGCCTCATATTTATGGAAATTTATTTCAAAGATTCCTGTGTTTGCTATTGTATTATGCCAAGTGCCTTCATTGAGATTCAATGTTTTAGCCTATTAATTTGGGTTTTTGCTATATTTAAGAAATGTAGCACTTTCAAAAGGTGAGGGAGGAGTTGGAGATCTGAAATTTAACATAGTTGTTAGTAGCCACACATTATGGTTTCTATGTTCTTTCTAGGCTTGGCAGGTATATGTACACAACACAAATGCTGTTTTTTATTTATGAGGAGTTTATCAATAGACGTCTCTGTGATCATCCAGTACAGCCTCTCATTCAATACAGAAACCTCTGAAGAATAACCTTCCTTAGGCAGGTTGCTAGATATCTCTAATTGACAAAAAAAAAAGCTCTTTTAATATTGTTCCCAACTGCTTTAAAATTTCATCCACTGGGGCTGTTTAGCTGTCTGATGAGACACAGAAGTCCGCTGATGTTTCTTTGCAACATTTTCCTTTTATGTTATTATTCAAAGATTGCCATGGTGGATATAACTATAGAATCACACAGGAAACTTACTTGCAAATGCAAATTCTAGTGGCTTTCCCTGCCACCCACCCCCAGATTATAATTCATAGGTCTGAAATGGGGTCCAGGTAACTTCCATGGAAACTAGGTAATGTAAGAAATTATGATCTGGAGAAAATTTTAGTAGTTGGAAAAGGACTACATTGTGTAATAACTGTAAATAGATTGGATTAGGCCAAAATAGCTTATTTTTAGCTAACACTGAAAACTAATTGAAATGTAATTTTTCATGTTAAATTTTGAAGCCCTTTGTTTTTATAACTATATTCCTAAAAAGACCCAAAAAACTAGAAAAGAATGGGTTAATATTCTGAAAGTTGATGAATGCCCATGACCATACTCCAACAAAGAATAATTTGCGTTTAATCTAAAGTACTAATGGTCAAAGTTAAAATTTATCTGCAGTATGTTAATCATAAGTAATTTTTTTGCATAAATCAAATCTTCCCTCTCCACTCTTTCTAAGATTAAAAAGATGGTCTGGGCGTGGTGGCTCACACCTGTAATTCCAGCACTTTGGAAGACTGAGGCAGGTGGATCACCTGAGGTCAGGAGTTCAAAACCAGACTGGCAAACATGGTGAAACCCCATCTCAATTAAAAATACAAAAACTTAGCCAAGTGTAGTGGCAGGCACCTGTAATCCCAGCTATTCAGGAGGCTGAGGCAGGAGAATTGTTTGAATCTGGAAGGCAGAGGTTGCAGTGAGATGTGATAGTACCATTGCACTCCAGCCTGGGCAACAAGGGCAAAACTTCGTTTAAAAAAATTATTAAACATAATTTAATACTTAATAAATGTTAAATTTATTAAATATAATAAAAAGATGTGTGCCTGTACATAACTCACTGGTAATCAAGGAGATACAAATACAAATTAACACTTCAATGAAATACCATTACACACCCACCAGACAATACAATAATAGTGGAAACTCTTATCCACTACCAGTGGGAAAGAACAATGGTTCAACAAATTGGACGAACAGTTGTCAGTATCTACAAAACTTTAGCATACCCCGCCTTATGACCGAGCACTTCCACTGTTAAAATGTACCCAAAAGAAAAGCATACAAATGTATACCAGAAACATATACGTAATATGCACAGCAATATTTTAAAAAATAACCCAAATTGAAAAAATTCCAAATGTCTATCATGAGAACGGATAATCCATGGTTCATTTATAAAATAAAATGTACATATGCACATACACACACAAAAAATGCAGCTATAAGCAAAAATATGGGTGAATCTCACAAAACTAATATTGAGAAAAATTGACACAAAAATGTGTATACTATGTTTTTATATATAGAAGATTCAAAAGTTAAGTTGAATCTATGGCTTTAGAAGTCATGAAGGATCTATCTTTGGAGAGAGGAGAAAGGACAGTGATGAAGAAAATGAGGGCTCTTCTGCAGGGCTGATAATGTTTTTCTTGACTTGAATGCTCGTTCAAACTGATATATACACCTTGTAATATTTAACTGAACTGTTTACTTGTGATTTTAAACTTTTCTGTGTATACTACACTCCAATAGAGAATGCTTTTACTTTTAAATGAAAGGCAAATAAACTACCCTAGAATGTTTTAGAAATTCTCATTTATTTAGCTAACTAGGTGAAATAGTTTTTATAGGAACAACCTTTAAAAGGAATTCATAGTCCACTTTTTACACTTTACAGAAAATTCTCCACTCTGTAATGCTTCCAATATTCTTTTCATGGCATGTCAGATGCACATTATTCAATGTAGTTGATTGCCCTCATGGCATAAAAATAAAATCCAAGGCTCTAAAAGAAATGTTTGCTTACGATAAAATTGTGAAATAAGCAAATACTAGAATTTTTTAGACTTAATAAATAATTCTAAACTGCATGTTTTTAAGCCAAGCCATCTTTCATCCTCTAAAAATGGCAGAAATCATTTTATGTTCTGAGCTCTTTCTCTACAGATATTCAAATGGGAGGACATTTCATTTCTCCCAGTTCACATTCTTAACACTCCATGCTGAGTTGAAATTCAGGGGCAAAGAGTTGCTCACTACATGCCAGCCCTGGCAGAGCTGCATTCCAGTGCCTTTCTATGAAAATCTTCTATCTCCAGTTATTTGGCTTAATATTTGAAGCATGTGGAAGGTGCTGAGTTAGACGTTTGGCTGGACTGTTTTCTGCACCGTGCATAGGATTCTAGGGCCTTTTCTTTGACGTTTTATGTATGGTCTTTGTCCCTTTCTCTTGCCTCTTTCCCTCACCTCTCTCTCTCTCTCTCTCTCTCTCTCTCTCTCTCTCTCTCTCTCTCTCTCTCTCTCTCTCTCTCTCTCTCTCTCCCCCCCCCTCGTCTTAAGGGTTTTCCTATTTATTCATTTCCAACTCAAAAACTCCTGAACACAAAAAGAAAGCAGATCTTACTTAATAAGAAACTTTAGCATCTGATATTTCGGCTACAACATAATCATCGGATACTTGTAAACTGTAAAGCAAAATGATCTCTTCAAATGTCTTCTGTTATTACAAGTGTCATCATGCTGCAAGGTATGTGCAAATCCAGGAGAGAGTTTGAAGCATCTGATGGTGTTGTCTATTTCTAAATTGGGTGATTCAAACTAAGCCCAGGTTTTCTGTAATTGACCCAAAGTAATAACTGCAATGTTAATAAATCATAGAAATGCCAGTTTAATTTCTCTCTCATCCCCTTCACAGCTATAATGCACTTGGAATTACAAGCATCTTTGTAAATGCATATATACATGTTCCATATTTTCATCCCTGTCACCTCTCTATATACTCTCACATAATTACTACACACTCATATTTAAATTCCAAGTATCCATTCAACTATTTATCTAAAAAAATGAATACTTTATTAGTACTTCTCAGCCCAGGGAAAACTGACTTACTAATTTAGCAAAGTATGAAGAATAGTATATGAGAAGGCTTTTTCAGTATGCAGTTGTTCACTTTGATTCTCAAGGTACACACCTGACCTATAACTTCTGAAGAGAAAAAATAAATAACAGGGAAACTTTACAGTTACTAGATAAACACCTTTTTTCTGCCCCATGGCACTAAAAATATTAATTATTTCATAGAGCTTACTACTTTAAGCACCAAAAATGCTTTAAAAGTAGTCTTTATAAAAGATAGATACATATTTGCTTAAATAATATGTATTGATATTTTACTAATCATTCATTTTTCACTAAGAAGACCAATTATTTGT